TACAGGAATGACAGTGTGGTCCACATCCAGGAGCCACAAGTTAAAGATATATTCTGCAAGAATTTTTTTATAAAAAGGGAAACAAAAATTATAATTGTTTAGAAATTGCCGGATAGAAAGAGTAAAGTCCAAATAACTTGTCCTTCAACATATGCATTAAAACTAACAAAGATGGCAAAAGCAATGGAACGAATTGGTAGGTAATCTTTCAGTTGTTCATGTCCTGCAACTTAATATAGAACATAACAGCGCAGTACAGGCCCTTCGGCCCTCGATGTTGCGCCGACCTGTGAAACCAATCTGAAGCCCATCTAACCTAAACTATTCCATTATCAAGATAAACTTCAAAAACTAAAGCCATTTTAGAAGGATGAAGTAAATAGCTGGCTTGAAATTCAACAGGAACTGGCAAATGTCTGCAAACTGTATCGTCTCCTGAACCCAAATCCACAGACTTTTGATCAGTGAATTAGGATCATTGAATGCTGTTGCTCTGAAAATTCTACCATGTAAATGACTTGGAAGTGATAAACACAGCAGCTTGTGATGTTAAAATGTCTACTGACAATTCTTGTCAGGTTACAAACTGCAGAAACTATTCCCCAAGTTCTCTTTCATTCCAATTACGTAGTTGGAGAGGTAAATTGCTCACATCCATTGTGCTCAGTTTCAGATATTCGTCAAGCAAGTTGGGGAAACAGGTGAGGAGCTGCAATATGCTTTTGTATGAACAAAAAAGGCCATGTAGTCCTAAGAGACAGTCTGGAGAACCAAAATGCTGAACACCTATTTTTGTGCCACCTTAGATATTAGGTAATTTTTAAAATATTCATTCATCGGAAAGGATGTCACTGCCTGGGCCAGCACTTATTGCCTGTTCACAAGTTTTCCTTGAGAAGGGGTTTCTGAGCTGCCTTGATGAATCACAGCAGTCTATCTGGTGCAGGTAGACCCACAGTATCATTAGGGAGGGAGTTACAGGATTTTGAACCAGTCAGGATGGTGAATAGCTTAGAAAGAAACTAGCAAATGATGGTTTTACCATTATCTGCTGCCAGCTGCTAGGCACAGAAGCGCTTTACGTTGGTCAGAAGATGGCCCTTTATGTTCCTGGCCAGAATAGCACTTATTGTTTGTTGCAGAGTCAGATCTTCATGTTATTTTCCAGGGTAAGAACAGCTCAAAGCTCTTGTGTATTTCGATTTACTCCACATAAAGTGGCAGAAAATGCATCATTTTATAAACAGATTATGCTGACTGCAATATTCAGGTGGAATCAGAGATGCTGTCCCCTTCCATACAACAGTTCAAATATATACAAATAAATGAAAGCAGCTGGTATACATTGGCTGTTGGTAGGTCAGTTCCTAGCATGTGTCACATGGAAAATTTTCCAGGTTTTTGAGCTGACAAAAATGACTGCAACTCAGATGTCAGCTCCTCCTCTTTCAGTTGCATTATGCCACCTCAAAACTGTTCAATCATTCTACCTTTTCTCTATCCATTCACGGGATGAGGGTGTCGCTGGCTAGGCAGCATGTATTGCCCATCCCTAATTGCCCAGAGGGCAGTTCAGAGTCAACCACATTCCTGTGGGTCCGAAGTCACGTCAGCCAGACCAGGTAAGGATGGCAGTTTCCTTCCCTAAAGGACATTAGTGAACCAGATGGGTTTTTCCCCCAACAATTGGCAATAGATTTATGGTCATCATTAGACTCTTAATTCCACATATTTATTGAGTTCAAATTCCACCATTTGTCATTATCTGGGTCTCTAGTTAACAGTCTAGCAATAATACCACTAGGCCATCGCCTACCCTCCAGTCTGCAACCAGTCATGTCCTTCCAACAGCATTCATAAACTGTAGCTGATTGAACAGAACTTGATTGTTCAGATGAAGTGCATCAGCTACAACTCGGGCAAAAATCTGAAGCGCGCTTTCCCTCTGAAGAACTGAGTGCAACTCTGATTAATCTTCTGAACTTTAAGGAGTCACAATTACAAATATTATTTTCACATTAAAGACATAAGCATCATTGAACTTTGCAGTTTAGAGAAAACACACTTCACAATAAGTAAAAACTTAGAGACTTTGATTTTGAAAAAAAGAGAACTTGATTACAATTAAACAGTTGAAGACAACTCAGTACAAAAGAAAAAACTGGCATTTATATCATACTTCTCACAGCCCCAAATATTTCAAAACACTTTATAAATAATTAGGTATAGATGCTGTTGATGATGTCCAGTTGGCCTTATTGACAACTTGATAAATTGGGCCCAATTCAATCACCATGCAAGTTTGGTGCTGAAAGAGGGCATATCAAGGCCATTCTGCAGGATAATGCTGACTCTACTCAGATCATGTCACGTTGTATATCGCACAAATTCATGGAAGGCCTCAAGCTGTCATTCTTGGTCCTGAAAAGAGGCCATCACCTTAAAGTATCCTAGAATGAGAACAGCAACAAGTGAAGCTAGCTTTATCATACTGCTATTACTCAACAGCAATGCAAGTGATGTTCATCACCATCAGGAAGGTGCCATGAAGATAAAAAGATAAACAGCCTACCACACAAGTGACTGATGTGGTATATGAATTTCAGTGCTGATGTGATGTCAGGTATGTAGGCCATGTGATCAAAAGACTGATGGATCATTTCAAACAGTACACTCCTTTGCCCGATTACAACAAGCAAGACACTGACCATACCCAACCAGCCAGCGCTCGCAAAACCTGGAACTTGATTCTGCAATTGAATGCCATTTGGTGGATAATTCCGAGTGTGCAAAGAACTACAATGACACATAAATGTAGGATTGTTGGACTTGCAGTGTAGCACAGTGAAGTGAAATGAAGCTACACGTATACATAGGAAATAGGCACACATAGCACCTGTTTAACTCAAAAGACAACTGACAGCCTTTTTTTGTTTTCCCCTTTATTGGTATTCCTGCAAATTATTTTGGTAAGTGCAAGACAAAAAGCTGAAAAAAAAAATCAGACGTACAGTGTTGCAAGGGTATGCCAAGCACCATTTTGCCTCCAAGTTAAAACAGAGACATGTTCTGTGGGCTTAACTATTAGGAAAACAGTGAACATGTAGAGATTTCCTTACAGTACGTTTAGATTTGCCTCACACAGATAATTTCAACCTGGTGACAAAGATAGCTCTAAAATCAACACAGGAGACACATCCAGATTTGATAAGTTACATGTAGTTTTACCCTAATACACTAACTGCAGTGACAGGAGAGAATCTGTAGCTTTCTTCTACTTTTAAATATAGCCATGGTGAAAAATAATTTAGCAGCATTATATCAGTTAATAGCTGCCAGTAAGATGCACAGGTACAAAAGTAGTGGCATCCATAGATTAAACAAAGGAGAAAACTTATGGCAGAGGATGCTCAATGAGGAAAAAAAATGAGAAACCCAATTTGGCTACAAAAGGAGATAGCAAAAATTGCAGATGCAGTATCCCGACCCAAAACGTCAAATTTCCTGCTCCTCTGATGCTGGCTGACCTGCTGCGTTCCTCCAGTTCCACACTGTACTGACTCCAAATAGGTCTAAATGTAATATTGTATTGGTGGTATGATACTGGAAGCTTTTGAACAGGAATGCAATATTGCAACTTATGCACATAAATAAATAAGTTAGTCCATATCAATAAAAGGTCCAATGGAATTAAGGTTTTCAACAAAATGATATTCAGACTCCACCTGATAGACAGCAATCAGTACTGGGCAACAAGTTTTAATAAACATCCCAGAGTAGGACGATACAATGCAGATTCACGAGAGTAATTCAAGAACATAAAGAATTAAATGATATGGATGGATATCATAAAGTTAGTTCGCATCTCCTGAGTTTAGAAGTCTGATGGGTGATCTGATGGATAGTCAATATGGCATTTAGTATGATATAGAGAAACTATTTCCTATTGTAAGGGAATCCAGAAACAGAAGTATTATCTTAAGATTAGAGCTAAGCTGAACAGAAGTGAAGTTACAGGCACTTCAAATGCAGTGGATATTTAGAACTCTTCCCACTATCTTACCTGCACGTCAACCCATCCACAAGGAGGATGTGGATTCTGGGTCTGAACTAAAATGTTCAATGGACACCGATTGGTTTAAGTTTTGCAAGGGGATTAAGGGATATACGGCAGTCAAGCACAGACCAACTAAAATGGAATCGAATAACAGAAGAGACCTAGAAATGATCATTACTGGCAGTCCCTCACAGACAAGGATGACTCACTTCCACACTGAGTCCATAGGTGGTTGTACAGACCGATGCAGTTTCCACAGGCTGAGACATTTGGAGCACAAGGTGGTCACGGGAAGGGATGGGCTGGACGTTGGTATGGCAACGCGCTTATGCTGTTTTTGCCTGGCTTCTGCGTTTTCTTGATGGCGAGTCTCAAGGTGCTCAACATCCTCCTGGATGCTTCTCCTCCACTTTGGATGGTCTTGGGCCAGTGATTCTCATGTGTCTGTGGGAAAGCACACATCACTGAAGCACTTCTTGTCCACGTGGGGCTTGCCTGCCATTTCAGAGTTAGGAGTAGAGCACCTACTTGGGGAGTCTCTTGATGGTCACGTGGATGGGCCCAGTCCATTGCAGCTGATCAAAGATGGTCGATGCCTCGATGCTGGGGATGTTGGCCTGGTTGAGGACGTGAGCACTGGTACATCTTTCTTTCCAGCAGATTCACAGGATTTTGCATAGGCAGTGTTGGTGGTACTGCTCCAGTGTCTTCAGGTGTCTGCTATAGACAGTCAGACCATATAGGAGACTGGTAACCAGCACAGCTCTGTAAACCATGAGCTTGGTGCGAGATCTGATGATGTTGTCCTCGAACACACCAGGCAGCCGAAGGCTGCTCTAGCATACTGGAAGTGATGCTGGATCTTGACATCAATAACTGCTTTGGCCAACAGGGCAATCCTGAGGTATTGGAAGTAGTCAACATTCTCTAAGGCCTCCCCATAGACCTTGATGATCGCTCCATAATACCAAACCAGCATTCTCATTCCAACATTTACACAAGGAAGACCACTCAGTTTGAGACAGGTTAGACAAGGGAAGATTATGTAAATAGTCTGGCAGTAATTAAAGAGTATATGTGCTCAGACACTCAGCCTAATAAATGAAGGTGGACTTTTTGAGAGGTCAAGTCAACTCAGTTTGGCAGAGAGCTGTGAAACTGAAGAAACGAGAAAGGACTTGAAACCAGAAATCTGGAAATTCCACAAAGGGTACGGTCTTGAGAAACACAGGTTGGATGATATTTTCATTGAAAATCTCAGTTCTTTAATGCATAGTTTAGCCTTACAGTCTGCCATGATTTTTGCTAACACCCTACATTTTTTGGTGGAATGAGAAATCTGAAGTAGAACACAAAAGAGAGTACTGTATAGCTTGCATAATGAACATCACTCTTTAAGATCTGGTTTGCACAGATCCATCGTGTTTTTTTTTCCCCATTTATTTACAATATATGAGTATCACTGGCCAAGTCAGCATTTATTACCCATCCTCAAACGCCCTAGATAAGTTAGCGGCAAGTTGTCTTACTGAACCACTCAGACTATGTGCCGCAAGTACACACACATTGCTGTTAGGGGAGGAGCAATTTCAATTTTCAATGGAGCAAAGAAAGATCTGTCCGCACACTGATCTCTGAAGGATGTCTCTTCCAAAACTTACTGCATTAAAATGATCAAAATCAAAAGCTGAAAATAGCCACTCAATGAAAGGTTTATTGTAGGTGTAGAATACAAAAAGTTTCTTTTGTAGGAAGGCAGAACAGTGTGGAAACAAATTAAAAACTGAAAGAACCACAGAATCTGTAAATCAAGAACCAAAACAGAAGTTGCTGCAAAAGCTCAGCAGGTCTGGCAGCATCTGCGAAGAAAAAAAATCAATGTTTCAGGTCCGGTGACCCTTCCTCAAACCCGAAACGTTAACTTCTGATTTTTTTTCTTCACAGATGCTGCCAGACCTGCTGAGCTTTACCAGCAACTTCTGTTTTTGTTCATGGAAACAAATTATATTGCTGTAACTTCACAGATTGGCAACTCTCCATATATGCATTTCTATTAGGTTTCATCATTGCTGGTCTTAAACACATGACATGGACATTCAAGATCAAAAGTCTCTTGAAATGTTATCTTTGATTCAAACAAGAATATTTATGCTTTGTTTGTCTAACGTTTAAATGTCACCACTTAGGTAACTTGCAGTGTTATGCTCAGTGGTGAATGGCAGCGTTGGGAGGTATATCATTTCAGATTCCCAAAGACCTCTTCTCCAGGGGCAATAATGGTTCTTAGTGAAATTAGCTGCGAGGAAGCATTATTCTATGTTTTGGATGATATTGAGTGATGGTAATGGATTATCTGTCACTGTGCTATACTCAACAGACCCACAGATTCAACTGCTACTTAACATTTGAGAAATTTATTTTGGGGAAAGAAAATGTTGGCATTCATGGTTGATAGATCGAATGATGTCAGTACAGCAGCTGGTGTTGTGGGAATATCATTATGTTGGCTTCTTACATCAAAATAGCTACTGTCCTCTCAGGTACAAATTTACAACAGAAGTCAAAGAAAAATGTCTCTTAGGTCATCACTTACTCTTCTGCAACATGATGGTTTCTGAAAATAGTTTTAAGAACCCCAGTCTCTTCCTTTATTACTTTTCTGGTAGGTTTAAAGCATATCTGGTACATTATATGTAACAGAGTTACAGCACCATCATTATAGCAGACACCTGCACAATTCCTTGCAACAATCAGACTATATATGAAGGTCCAGGTTCAATTTGACTCAGCTAATCATAGTGCCATCCTGTTCCCATAGTGTACAGGTCTGAACATGACATAGATGGCAGGGGCTTTTCAGCCGTGGGCAGAATGAAGATTGCAAAGCATCACCATTCTGCAGACAACCCAAAATTCTTCCACAATCTTACAAACAAGAAGGTTGTGACCATATCTCTGCAAGAGCAGAGAACAAAGATTTTCTACTTCAACATTATTGCTACCTGGTCCAGGAAAGGCACATACCTGAAAAGCAATTCCAAAAGCTGTCTAAAATTTACAGTTAAAACCAATATACTGTTCAAGTAACTGTTGCTTACCTCTTCCCCGGACCCAAGGAGAAAGAACATCCATCCTCCTGATGAGCACTAACTTTGGGAGGGGCATATTCTGTGGCATATTGTATATGCAGTATAGTAGAAGAGAAGTAAACTGTTTGTCTTTTAGGTGTGGCGACCACTACATACCTAAGTGACATACCCTATTTTTGCCTCTCCTCCTGTGAATCTAGTGTTGGAATGAAACATGGGTGTATTTGATCAGTATGTTACTAAACAGTTTACTTTTGGACACTTTATTAGATCTGTCTGCATAAACAGAAACTAACTAGCAGTCTGCCTTCTACACAAGTCAGGTAGAGGAATGATGCAAGGCTTCAGTCATCAATCGTGGCTTTCTTTGGTGAAAAGAACTATTAGTGAGGCAAAACCAAAATTTGCAAATGCTGGAAATTTGAAATAAAAATCAGAAAATGCTGGCAATACCCAACACATAGGCAGTATCTGCAGAGACAGAAACAAAGGTTTAGTTCAATCATTAACCCAAAATGTGAACTGTGTTTTTCTCTCTCTACAGATGCTGTTTGACTTAAGCATTGCCAACGTTTGGTTTTATTTCATGTTAGATAATGGCTGTGTTTTCATCACATGGAAGTGAAAAGTTACAATAACTAAGAACTATTTTAAAGAGTCAAATGATGCAAATCCTTCAAGGTTTCACAGCAGTATTGTGCGTTACAATCACATCCAACTGAAAATAGTGTCACATATTTTAATGATTCTCTTTAAACAAAAAACTCTATATATACTCTTCATGCCATCAGGACATTGCAATGTGCTTCACTGCAATTTAAAAACTTCTGTAAAAAGGGCCAATAACTAGATTAAATGACCGATTACTGTTTTTGTGTTGAGGGATTACTATTAATTTGAATACTGACCAAGTGAAACAAGGATTCAGCTTACACAGAACTGTAGGCGACCAATCTAAATGAATATCTTAAATAAAATGCTTAATACACCAAACAATGAGAAACTGACAGAAAATGCAGCAAAGTAAAATTATTTACTTCAAAATTTTCCTTGCTTTCATATGCAAACATTAGGATAGATCACTTCCTGGGCCTTTCTGTAATCATAACCTTTAACATGAAATACAAGCTAAAGCTCTAAGTTGAAGTATATTGTAGTCAATCAAATAGACATTATTTATAACCAAATTTAGGTTTATAAATGGTTCACTGGGACAACAATTTAGGTTATTGAACTGAAGAGTTTCATAAAATGATGCACTAAATTCCATTAAAATGAACATGGCACAACAATAGCTGAGGCTTCAGCAAGTTTAAACAGTGTCTGAACCGGTTGATCGAATATCACATAGCAATTCAAAACATTCACTTAGGAATAGAATCAGCTCATTTCATCCCAGGGACAGCCATGTATTAAAGCTGAATATGGATGGGCAATGTGAATGAACACAGATTTCAGCCTCATTGTTGCTTCTATTTTTCCAGCTCAGGTAAGATCATTCTCCATCAGCTGAGTGCCATTTGTCCACCTGAATGCCCATTATTTTATGTTTGAAGGGAAATCAATGACTGGATGGATGTTTTCTTTTGATAGACTACACAACAAACTCAAACCAACTACTAAACTATACTAGGGGTGGCACACTTTGGAAATTTCAACAATTAACGATCTGTTTAGAATGACAATATTGATTCAATGAAGTGAACGGTAAAGGTAAACTGTGCTGTACCAATGATGACTGCAGAGGATGAAAATTTAGAATTCAGAGTAGCAGCAGGAACCCCAGGAGACAAGACTAATCAATATCAGCCACAATATTGATAGTTTTCAAAAATGCACATTTTGAATACAAGGTGCCACCCCATTCACAAGATAGAGCTTTATAATCTTACCCTACCTGGCAATCTGACACTGAGTTAGTGATCCTAGTGGCGCTTCCAGACCCCCCACTTTCTTCTTTCTAATGAGAGAATATGAAACTAGTTTCCACCTTGTCATGCTTTATGTGACAACACCACTATTCGCAAATTCTATGTATCTATTATACAAATTATTAAATGGTTAAGACTAAAACACCTATACATGTTTAAAACATCACAATTTGTATACCCAATCTATAAGTATTTAAATCACTGCCTCATAAAAATCTAGCCCTTTTTAAAAAAAAGAAAAGGAACTTCACAAGATGCCTTTTACAATGCAAATACCCACCCAACGATGGATTTCCAGAGGTGAAATAAGGAAGGTGGCTAATGGACAAGCACCATTCTGAGATTTATTTTGGGGTGGGTTTGGGGACACAGAAATGACCAGGTAGGGAGGGAGGCTGCAAAAAACAAAGAAGCTTCAAACAAAAAAGAATTAAAGATACATATTTTGGATTTACAGGAACAAGCTCCCTAGTTAAAATACAGATAGGTGGTTTTTAAAATTGATCTTCATAAATTAAAGCTTAATGTGTTTAAGAGTGGTTTTCACCAGCAGACTGGGGTCATCAAACAGAGTTTGCTTCTTTCAGAGCTTGGCTATGTTAATTTATATTAATCTAAATGTGAACTCCGCTGCTGCAGTGTGTTAAATAATAACAGTTCAGTATGGAAACTGACACACAAACCGACTAATAAATTATTCATATAGGACATACCAAGTAGAGTAGCCAGGTTGATCAACTTTAGATTAGAGATTTCTGAGTACAAATCAAATTCTTCAACATTATGTTCCTGCAAGTGACTATTTTACACTTCTGCAAGTGACAGTGCACAGAGCAGACATAAGTGCCTAGTTACAAATATCTCAGTTTAGGATGAGGTGTAAAGTGCACTGCAATCACCATTGGCCTAACATCTCACATACACCAACATCTTCAATCTCCAAATCTGAATCCCAGCAGATAGAGTGAGAAATGTTGAATTTGTGACAATCATGAGAAAATCTCTAAACTCCTGACCCCTCAGTTTTGTGGGAACATCTTTATTACACAAACTGTATCAGGTCAAAGCAGCAACGGCAAACCACCACCTTCTCAAGCCAACCAGGATAGGTCATAATTGCGGGTCTTGTCACCTTTAGAAAAAAACACTTAAAGATCATGCACGATGTGCTGTAAAAGTGGAACTAAAAACAAATCAACCCTCTTCCCTCCCCCACCAGCCCCAGGTACAGACTGAGAACACTGGAAAACAAAAGGAAATCCCAGATTTTAAAGGGGAAGTGTGTAACCAAATAAGGAAGCCAATTACAAAATGTTCCATTTTACACTATGTTTTCTAGTGAAGCACCCACTTAATTAGATAGCCTGAATAGGTTTCACTTAGGTTTTTAACTTAATCACGGTGTAAATTTAACATCTCGCACATAATTCTAACTTTTCAAATCAAATGTCCAATAAGAGGTAGTTTAAATAATATGCAATCCATGTATAGCCATAACCTTAAGTTCTCTCACGATAGTAACAGGGAGAGTGACCAAATCAGAATTTTGAGACTTAAGCACTCAATTAGATTCTGAGTTGAGGGCTGCTGTAGCTATTAACAAGGAGCCAAGAAAATTACAGGAAATCACCAGAAAAAAATTCCCAATTTTGGAAGCTGCTGCAGGGAATAGCTTTTCAAAAGCACAAAGTGAAAAGCACAAACATATAGTCCCACCATTCGAAGTAATCCAGTTATTGCACAATATATGCAACTTAAATAGTTAAACTGTTGAAAGAATCAGGCTTCTTGACAAACGCTCAAATGTATTACCAAGACATATGGATTGAGTGTTTGGTAATTTGGAACCTTGGTGCAGCACAATGGCTCAGTGGTTAGCACTGCTGCCTCGCAGTGTCAGGGACCCAGGTTCAATTCCAACCTCAAGCGACTGTGTGGAGTTTGCATGTTCTCCCCATGTCTGCGTGGGTTACTTCCAGGTGCTCCAGTTTCCTCCCACAGTTCAAAGGTGTGCAGATTAGATGGACTGGCCATGTTAAATTGCCCATAGTGTCCAGGGCTGCGTTGGTTAGGTGGTTAGCCATGGAAAATGCAGGGTTACAGGGATACAGATGGTAGGTGAGTCTGTGTAGGATGCTCTTTGGACAGTCAGCGTGGACCAGCTGGACTGAATGGCCTGTTTCCACAGTCGGGATTCTATATGGCTTAGCAGTAACACCTTACACAAACCTCACATAAAAAGACTTCAACTTAATCAAAAAGTAGTTTCTGGTGACCACAATAATCAAGAGATTCTCCGTTATACTTCTATCAATTCTATCAAGTATTTACCAAGGCAGCCTGTAACATCTTTTCAGGGTCTGTAGAGTGACACAAACTTCTCAAAACAGTTCACTCACTGGTGTCTGCCAAACAGAAATTGGTGCAAGCTAAGCTTTGCTGTTTTGGACAAGCGTTAGAATCAATTGCCAAGCTCAAGCTTGTGAAAAACTGGGACTTTCTCAAACTAAGGACAACTCAACTCTGTTATTGAAAATATTCCTGCAACTCAGGCCCTTTTTATAATGAATATATCACTTGGCACAGCCCTGTACAGTTGGGATTATTGACCAGTATGATTACTATACCACCTCTAAAAATGCCACATGATCTCCCCATGCATAAACAAAAGGTCTTTGATGCACCAAATAATTTCAATGAGTGCCATGATTCACCAGAGCGCACAATCAGAACAAAACCTTCAACAGAAGCTAGTTCTTTAGTTTTTGCCAATATAAAAAGAACTCCATTCCAATTCTTCACACAGCATCTGTACCAGAACTTTAAGTTCAAAAGTGGCATAAATTGTATTTCTACTTTTGCTGAGCTATTGCCGACAAGCAAAACGAAAACATTACTAAACTTCTGTGGGATTGGTCTGATCAATGAAGTATCCAAAACAGTAGTGATCAGTAGCTCACTTCTCATTTGCTACAGTGAGCAACAATTGAGTTACACGTCTTGGGTCACCCCAAATGGTCAAGGACACTGAAGCATTGAGCAAGGAGCAAGATGACTTATTCTACAGGTGACTCACTACCCAACTGATCCATTGAGCTCAAGTGTTGTTCAGGAATTTTCCCAGGGCTTTTATACACTTAAGATGTTCCAATCTCAGGAATTCGAGTGATTATTTCTGTCCTAAAAAAAGAGATTTCACGGAGCCCAACTGGCACAAATGAAAAATCTTATTACTTATGAGACAAAGTTTGCGGTTGACTAAACTCTGGCTACTTCTGAAACTCGCACAGTGGGCTCTTTAGTCTGTCAGACTCACCGAGTTAGGATAATTCAGGTAGCAGATCGCACAAACCATATCTTGTGAGGATGATCGTGTGTTCATCTGACGTGTTCGAGACTTTTTATAAGGGTTTACTACATGACATTCTGCAAAAAGTTTCTCCAAGTTTCCATCAAAGTATCTGTAAGAAGCAATGCAGCTATTACAAAAATGAATCAAAAGAATTTGTTCAGTTTTCATATACTTCATGTTGAAATATTTTTTTAAATCACAGATGTGTTAATGTACAGAAGCATATCCAGGGAAACTCCTGTGCTTGTATGCACTTAATGAGTAATGCTTTCCATTATAATTTCCTCTGTCCATTTTTAGAATAGGAACTGCTTGTGAAAATCTGTCGCACTGCAATCACACACACGTTGGTGGAGGCATCACAACTTCACCACTAGAAGGAGATGGAATCATCAAGCTTACATTAACAATTCCCATTATAAACATGGAGTACAGGAATTTATAATGAAAACATATAAAAATATAAAGTATAAGCTGTATGATTTGGTAAAACAGTACTACATGACTTCCATTTACCCTGTTCCAATTATCCCGTTCCTTAATTCTACTTAACATGATGGCTAAAACTGAACATAAGCCTGCAGAACTCCAAAGAAGATTATAAAAGCAGTCAATGTAATTTCCTATTTTTTTCTAACATTTGCTTTTTAACAACGCAAATCTGGCAAAGACAAATTTCTACTTGTTCTATGCATGTTGGGATTATCCATGGTCATGTTCATCATTAGCAGCGATTTCATAGAGGTGGAAGGGGAGAACACACCTCGGAACCTATGACCTTGAAATGGATAGCAATTTAGAAAATGAAGAGAATTTAGAAGACTCTTACACTAGCATAACTGAGACTGCAGAAAGGTAGTGGCAAGAAAATTAATTTCAAAAGTTTAATTGAGATAAAGAGACAATGATTTAGTTAAGGCCATTCTGAATAATTCCTCCAAATTGTATATAATAAATATTTTTGACATCCGTAATTCCCATTCCCAATATACTAATTTCAATTTCAAATGCAATTGATCTAATTTTCTTACAGAAAAAATGAAGTCAATAAACTATGGGCAATTTCGATGATTTATCCTTCTTCACCTAGGGCTTTGCACAATTCAAATGTGTATCTGGGAAGGTACAGAAATGCACGATACATGGCTAGACAAAGTTGCCCATTACAACCAATGACTCAGGAAACGCAAAGTTCCCATTATAATGATCCACAGATTTCAAGGGTAGTGTCTCTGCACTTGCATTCAGGACTATTGAAGAATAGGACAGAAAACTGTTGATAAGTCTTGATTTCTGAGACTTGAATAGTCCTATGATCCAAGTGATACTCTCAGTTATCTGAGGGTTATCAAATGAATCCAATAACATACAATACTGTCTTACAACTTGTCCCGAAAATTATCAGGGCTCTCCCCGTGTTTCCCATTTCCAAGAATGAGTAAAAAGATATGTAAAAATAATGTTCTGGGAAGATAGCTAATAAAATAATTTCCAAAAGGGCAGCGGTGGTGGTGGTGGTCCAAATTTTGCATAACAGACATCATAAATAATGAAACTCTTCCTGATCTTCTATGTCCATATAAACACAATGGAGAGTTTATCAGTGCACTGCAGACTGCCTCTTGAATGGATGTAGCTTACGTGCAGGTAAACAGGCAGCACCACCAACCCACAATCAAAAGCAGCAATTTTGAAAAACAGAATAAAATCATAATTTAAGATTACTCATTGTGGCAGAATTAAACTATTCTTTCCAGGCAAATTTCATGTAAATAACGAGGATTAAGAAAAAAACCAATAGATATGGCTCATGATCCCATATCATTATAATTCCACAGAATAAAAGAGATTATTAACATCTTTCGCACAGTAGGAAAATTGAATGGGCACCACTGAGGCAAATGGAACCATGATGGTTCAGGTCTATCAACCGAGACACCTCCATCTGCTACTGCATAATCTCATTACAAAGTTTGACAGTTGTAGCAAAGCCAAAGCTGCGCACCTAATAGCTGCCACCCACTGCTGGTGCAAATAGAAGGGTCACATCATAGTTGTGCTCATTTTGCAGAAGCTCTGTGGTTGTTTTTGCATGGTTTCCAGTTTACCAAGTCCAAAAGTCATCTTGCCACCAATGTGGGATGGACAACCATTGAGTATGCAACCAAAGACCTCAATGGTATTCTGGTGACGTCCAGTACGTATTTAGAACATTGAACATAGAACTGTACAGCACAAAAACGGGCCCTTCGACCCACAATGTTGTGCCGAACATGATGCCAAATTAAACTAATCCCTTCTGTCTGCCCTTAGCCCATATCCCTCCATTCCTTGCATATGCATGTGCTTATGTAAAAGTCTTTTAAATGCCCTTATTGTACCTGCCTCCACTACCATCCCGTGGCAGCGTGTTCCACACTCCTACCACTTTGGGTAAAAAAAAAAATTTGCCCTCACATCTCCTTCGAACTTCCCCCCCCCCCTCACTTTAAATGCATGCCCCCTAGTATTAGACATTTTAACTCTGTGAAAAAGATACTGAATGTCAACTCTATGCATTTCATAATTTTATAGACTTCTATCAAATCTCCCCTCAGCCTCTACCAGTCCAGAGAAAACAACCCAAGTTTTTCCAGTCTCTCCTTATAGCTCATACTGTCTAATCCAGGCAGCATCCTGATAAACCTTTTCTGCACCACCTTCTCCAAAGCTATTTCTAGATTGAGACATCAATGTCTGGACTAAAACCTCATGAATAAAGCTCTATGGTCGAGGACAAATTAAAGTCAGAGTCATAGAGCCATACAGCATGGAAACAGACCCTTCAGCCTGACTCACCCATGCCAACCAGGTTTCCTAAACTGAATTCGTCCCATCTGCATGCACCTGGCCGATATCCCTCTTAAACCCTTCCTATCCATGCACCTATCCAAATGACTTTTAAATAATGTAATTATACCCGAGTCTACCACATCCTCTGGCAGCTTGTTCCATTACCACCACCCTGCAAGAAAAAAAACTGCCCCTCAGGTCCCTTTTAAACTTTTGCCCTGTCACCTTAAACCAATGCCCTCTAGTTTGTGCCTGCCTCTACATCCCTCTGTGGTAAGAAAATTCCACAAATTCACTACCCTCAGAAAAATATTCCTCCTCATCTTTGCCTCGAATGGGTGACACCCTACTTCGAGATGATGCCCCCCCCACCCCCCATTCCTAGACTCTCCCAGAGAGAAGTAACCTCTGTCTTGAACCTGCCATACCCCACAAGAATCCTGTATGCTTTAACAAGGTCTCCTCTCATTCCTCCAAACTCTTATCAGCAGACACCTAAGCTACTCAACCTATCCTGATAAAAAACAGGTTGCTTCACTTAATCACTTTTACCAGCCATTTACAAAGAAAATGAGACTTATTCCCCTGTAATAAGAGAGCCTACAGCACAACAGCTGCCAGATTCAGTAAATTAGAACAACTGAAGCATCTGTTACCCCCTCTCTCCCCAGCTTAGAAAATTGAGTGTACATCCTTCTGACGATTCATCATCACTGCCAGTTAGTCCATGGAATTGCAGGTTCCTAGCCATTCCCCAGTCTTTTCTCCCAAAGCCCACCAAAACCTTACAGGAAGGTACTGCTGCCTCTTACTAGTGGTGAAAACCATCCTGGTTAAACAAAAAGCGCTCAGCCCTTAAAATCCCACTGTATACTCAACATCTTTTACTGTAAAATCCAGTATATGCTCAACATTGCCAAAAAAGTAGTAAGACAGACATTCAAGAGTTTTACAAACAAAAAATGAGTTAAAAATAAAATTGATGCAAAGGATAAAATAGGAGAGAACTGGCCGGAAGTATAAAAGCACAATATTTCCTAGAAGTGGGTAAAAAGGAACAGAAATAAAACTGAACTTTAGTCCTATACAGTCTGAAACAGAAGTAATAAAACGGAAATATAGTCACTTCAAAGGCTTGAAATAAACAGTGTGCCTGCTTTAACAGTACATATGAACATACAAATTAGGAGAAAGGGTAGGCCATTTAGCCTCTTGGGCCTGCTCCTCCAATCAATAAGATCAAGGCCTCAACTCCGCCTTCTTACCTATGTCTGAAATCCAACGATGTTGTTGTTAGTTAAGCATCTATTACTGCCTTTACCTTAGCTTCCATGGCACTCTGGGAAAAGAGTTCTATAGATTCATAACCCTCAGTGGAAATTTTTTCAAAGTGTCTTAGAGACCCCTTATTTTTAGCCTGTCTTCACTAGTACTCACCCCTCCCTCAAGGGAGAATGTCCTTTCAGCAGCCATCCAGTCAACTTCCCTCAGGATCTCGTGACTCAATGAGACCACATTGCATTCTTCCAAATTCCAATGAATATCAACCTAACTTTTTTTTTTAATAAAACAATCCCCTCATCTCAGAAATCAGTAAACCCTTCTTGGAGCTGCTTCTAATGCAATTTTGTTCTTTCTTAAATAAAGGAGACCAAAACTGTAGACAGTACTCCACATGGCCTCAAAAACACTCTGTAGAACTGCAGCAAAACATCCCTACTTTTCTATTACATTCCTCTTGCAATGAACAACAGTACTCCATTTGTTTTCCTAATCACTTGTACCTGCATACTCACCCTTTTGCAATCACATACCAGAACAGTAAGATGCCCTCTGGATAAGTTCACAATTTTCTGTATTACATTCAATCTGTCATGTTTTCACCACTCACTCATCTACATCTCTTCTGAAGAGAAAAAAAAGAAAGCTACAAACTAATTTTCCTACCTATCTTTGGGTCATCAAGAAATTTAGCAACCGTACCCTTGTCTCTTCAGTCAAGTCATTGGTATAAATTATAAGTAGTAGAGGTACTGGCAGTGATCCATGATAAGCCATTTGTTACATCTTACCAACATAAAAATAACCATTTGTGCCTACTCCCGGATTCCTGTTAGTTAAATAATCCTTTATCCATGTTAATATAGTTTGATGCAGTAACTTGACAAATGTCCTCTGGACATCTAAATACACAACATCTACAGGTTTCCCTTTATCCATATTGCTTATTACTTGATCGAAGCACTCAAATTAGTCAAACAGTTTCACTTTCACAAGAAAACCTTGATACTACCCGACTATACTGAGATTTTTGAACTGCTCTGCTATCATCTGCTAAATAAAAGATTCATCATTTGTCATAGGGAAAATGCTAACTGGCCTGCAGGTTTCTGCTTTCTGCCTCTTTCATTGCTTTAATAGGGTAGTGAAACTCAATACTTTCCAAAATGTTCTCATGGTACCTTTCCAGAACCTAGGTAACTTTGGAAAACTCAAACCAATACATCTATTTCGGTAATCTCTTCTTTTAAGACCCCATGATAGAGTTCTTCACGACCTGGGAATTTGCCAGATTTTATTTCTAATCATTTTTCACTACCTCTTCCCTGGTGACTCTAATTGATTCAAGATCCTCCCTCCTTTTCACCTCCTGGCTTACAACTATCTCCGAGATAACATTTGTATCTTCTACAGGGAGGACAAAGGGTCTGCTCATTCATGTGTCAGTTTGTTTCACCAACTGCCCAGGCTTTCTCTAAATGACCAACACTTCATTTCTTTCTTTTTAAATATCTGTAGCAAGAGTTGTGTTTTTTCTTTCCAGTTAGCTTTCTCTCACACTCAATTTCTGCCTCTTTAGAAGTCACCCATTGCATTTTATATTCTGTCTAATCTTCTGTCCTGCTATTAATCTTTGCAAAATTGTTCACCATTTCTTTCAATTTGATACTTGAAGATGATAAACTGTACCAGAAATAGAATGAAGGCACAAAAAAGAGTGAAGTAATGAGTACTAGTAAGACAAAAATACTGGAGAAATTAATGGGATTAAGAGCTGACAAAACCCCTAGACCTGAAGGCCTACATTTCAGGGTTTTAACAGAGGTAACTGCAGATACAGTGGATACACAGATGACAATATGTTAGAGCCCCTAGATTCTGGAATAGTCCCAGTATGTTGAAAGGTGGCAAGTGCTATCATGTTATTGAAAAAGGCAGAGAGATAGGAAAAAAGGGAACTGAAGCCCAATTAGCCTCACACGTGGGAATGTACTGGAATTTATCATTAAGGAAAGTATAACAAACCACCTAGAAAAACAGTATGATAAAAGCAGAGTTCAGTGTTTTATGAAAAAACTGATGAAGTCTTATAAACTTACGAAAATTAGGATTTTTGAAAATAATTAGCAGGGTACATAAAAGGGAGACGATTCAACTGAGTATGCCTGGATTTTCAAAATACATGTGGCAAAATGGCACATGAAAAGGTTGTTGCTCAATGTAGGGGCAACATATTAACATAGATACAGGATTGGTTTAAGGACAGAAAAAACCAAGTAGGAATGAACTGGCCAATTTCAGGTTGGCAGGTGATTAGCAGAATGCCACAAGGATCAGCGCTGAGGCCTCATCTATTTTAAGTCTACATTAATTACCTGGAAGCAGAGATCAAGGGTAGTGTTTCCAAATTTTCTGACACTATAAAGCTAAAAAGCTTGGGGAAGCAAGTTTACAAAGGCTTATAGTTGGATGAACTGACTGGATAAGACAGTGGCAAATAAAGGTGGGGATTGTGAAGAGACTATCCACTTTGACGTACCTGGTATACTATGTACAGTTTGTACCCTAGGAAGGACACACATGCCTTAGACAGTACAATGACAATTCACAGGATGATTCCCATAAAGAAATATTGACCATCATGGCACTTCATTTCTGGAGTTTAGAAGGAGAGGTGATTGCATTGAAACTGATATTTGCAATTCCACCAGGCAGAAGATACAAAAGCTTGAACACACATACTAACAGGTTGAAGAACAGCTTCAGCATTTTTCCTACTGTTATTAGACTGATGAATGGACTCTTTAGCTTCAAATAATGTTGATCTCGCTTTGCACATCTCCAGTGGAGTGTAATCTGCATGCCTCACTCTGTCTAAGCACCCTATGAATTCCATGTCCTTGCTTGCTATGATCTGCCTGTACTGCTCACAAACATAGCTTTTCACTGTACTTAGGTACACGTGACTACAATACAAAACCAAAAAGATGGCCCAATCATAGGACATGCATCATTACAGCACAGGAACAGACCCCTTGATCCACGGTGTCCGAGCCAAACATAATGCTATTCTAAACTAATTCCATCTGCCTGCATATAGTCCATATCCTTCTCTTCTCTACCTGCTCACGTACCTTGTCTGAATTCCTCTTAAAGTTTGCTATCGTAACTGTTTCTACCACCTCCCAATTTGCACATTCCAGGCACCTACCACTGAAAAAAACTTTTCCCCACTCACCTTAAAACTATACCTCTTTAGTATTTGACATTTTCACCCCGAGAAAGACATGCCAACTTTGCACACTATCCAAGCCTCTTGTAATTTTATACACTTCCATCAGGTCACCCCTCAGCCTCCAATGTTATCGCAAAAATAATCCCAAATTATCCAACCTCCCCCTTATAGCTAATACATTCCAATCCGGGTAACATCGAGATGAACATCTTCTGCACCCTCTACAAAGCCTCCACATCTTTCCTTTAGTGCAATGACCAGAACTTCACACAGTACTCCAAATGTGGCCTGACGAAAGAACGTTACATTTGCACCATGTCTTGCCAACTTTTATACTCAATGTCCCAACTGATGAAGGCAAGCATGCCATATGCCTTCTTTACCATCTTATCCACTTGCGTTGCCACTTTCAGGAAGCCTTGGACTTGAACCCCAAGATGCCTGTTTATCAATGCTAAGGATCTTGCCATTTACCATATCCTTTCCTTGACCTCCCAAAATGCATCACCTCACATCAGATTAAACTCCAATTGCCATCTCTCCACTTAACTTTCCAGATGATCTATATTCTGCTGCAACCGTTGATATCCTTTGACTATCCACAGCTCCACCAATTTTTGGTGTCATCTGCAAACTTACTAATCAGACCACCAACATTTTCATCCAAATCACTTGTATACAATGCAAACAACAGAGGTCCTAGCACAGATCTCTGCGGAACACCACTGGTCACAGGCTTCCAGTCAGAAGAACACTTCTCTATAACTATCTGTCTTTTGTGGCTAAGCCAAGTTTGTATCCAACTTGCCAAATCAGCATGGATTCCATACAATTTGACCTTCTGGAATAGTGTACCATGAGGGACCTTGTCAAACATTTTAGTAAAGTCCATGTAGACAACAAAACAGTTGTGGAACACTGCCTTACTCTCAATCATCTTCGTCACTTCCTCAAAAAACTCAATCAAGTTTGAGACAAGATCTCCATTGCTTACAGCCAAACTGACTATCCCTAATAAGTTTATTCTCCAATACTGCCCTTATTTCTAATGCCTCTTATTGGAGTACTTGAAACAATTGAATTCATAGTGTTCTCAAGGCCAGCTTCAGGCACATCATATTATTTGGTCAACTTCACAACAGAAGTGCTGAGCAACCAGACAGACAGGCACTGTCCATCGTTGAGTTTACTATCCGCTTTCTTGGGTTTTTGAATTAATAACAGAAATTCACTTTCTAATCTCTTAATCATCCCTGAACAAAGAGGTACCTCAGATGGTTATGATAATATTACACTGAATGTGACTGTTGTTTCAAACTTAGAAAGCAGAGGTCTTCATGGCAGGTCCCTGGATTCACGTTTCTAAAAATGTCTCCCTGATATTGACACCATGTTTGTGGAACTGCTCTATCAAGATTCAGCATTATAAACACATGAAACTCATCTAGAGACCAATTGCTGACCAAGCAAACTATAGAAGAGCTACTAATAAATGTACCTTTGATAATGTTATAAAGTTCATTCCACTGAAGACGTTACATTGTCAAGCACTACGATTTTAGCTTCACCCTGGCTATCAAGAATCTCTCTTTCAATGAGCATGACAGCATCACAGATTGCACCAATTCGCGCAGGTGTCAGGTAACAGGGAACAGGTGGCTGCAGCCAAATAGGATTCCCATGACTTTGCAGAATGGATCTGTGGCCATCAGGGTCTAATTTTAATTCTTTTCTTGTAGAAATGCATTGTGTTTATTGTTTTCCTTTTAAATTTCTCAACCTAGCTATCAAGCAGATGATGTTTCTAGACATGAAGACACACTTAATTCCAGCATGTGAAATAACATTGACATAGCCCTCCTCAGCTCTGGAGCTGACTCCCATCCAGTATGCACAGGTCCATTATTTTCCCCACAATAGAAAAATAAATTACCTTTCCATTAGTTTCTCCTTATCCCAGTTGAAGTGGCTGAGAAGTATCCTTGTGATTGTGGCTGGATTCTGGGGGTAAAAGGTAAGATCAAGTTACACAATTTAATAACTTTATTATACTTCCTGTGATTGAGATCCTTAAACACATATAGAAGTTTGTGCTCAGTGTTCTCTGGGTTGTCTCCACACTAATGTTTGTATAGGGGCAGACAATTGAGATATGAATTACATATAGAATTGTCATATCAGTGCCAGAGCTATTTCCTCCTGTGAATCAAAGGATTCAACCCACTATTAGTAAACATGTAATCTAGACCAACAATAGGACAAGGCTGTTCTGCACTTGCAGAGCTGTTGTCAAGTTACAGCCCAGTCTGCCTGTTTAAATTGGTACATGCAACTGAAGATTGAATCGCACTGGCTGACAGAGACAGGAGATTCCCACCGGTGTCCCGGTCAACATGACTCACTCGACAACCACAATATAGTTCTGGCACAAAATGGCTGCTGTAAACGACAGTGCATTTTAATGAGATTTACTTTATGTAAAGTGCTAAGTCATTTCAGATACATGACAATGTTGAGTGCCTGCAATTCTTATTCCCAATGCCATGATCAGGAACAAATTTGTAGCCGCTCTAATTGGAATTTACCTGCCTACTTAGCAATGAGGTAACAATCTCAGCCCACCTAGCACCATAAGTATAGAAATCCTTCAAACACAATCGTGCATTATAAAGGCAGCCGACATTATGAGTTTCAGATTGCTGTGTAATAAGACACTGGTGTCTTATATCAAGACCAAATGACATGGAATTATTTAAAAACACAATGGTCTTCAGGAAATCTCCCAACAACCCTGGTTATAGATGTGTGGATTTTCATAACATACAGAAGTTCTTTATTCAATTTTATTTATTCAGTTAATATCATTACCATATCTACTACCTCACAGGAACTTAGGAACATTGTATGATTCAATAGTCACATACAATCTGGAGTTGCCAAAGCTGAGTATGTACCATTGTAAATAAAAATACACTATCGAAGTGATTCTTAGCACATATAACACATGGCTAATATACAGTTCATGCGATTGTGGACAATGCCAGTATCTATTGCCCTCACCTGCCCTCAAGAAGTGGTGGCCCACCCTCAAGAAACATTGCAGTATCTGCTGGAGGCATCCCTGTTAATGAGAGAATCCCACGATTTTGTCTGAATGATGATGAAGCAATGGTGATTACGTTTCAGGTCAGGTTGGCGTTGGTTGGGGTGGGGAAGAGATCTTGTAGGTGGAGTGCCCTATGCTTCTGGTGTCCAAGGCTTTCTAGGTGGTGGAGATCATCAGAGTTTGAAAAGCCTTGGGGAGTTGTTGGAGTGCACCTTGTAGGTGGTACAAACTACTGCCACTGTCCTGGACCGTCTTGAGCTTTTGGAATGTTTTCACAGCTCCATTCATCCAGGAAGTTCCATTAGACTCCTGATTTGTTCCTTAGAGATGGTGGAAAAGTTTTGGAACATTACCTGGTCCAGTGCTGTGGTTAGAATACTAATGCAGCCAGTCCAATTGAATTCCATTCTGGTGATGAGAAGATATGCTGTTTGTTCACGCTGCACATTTTGGATGACATTATGAAGGTAGTAGCAACAAAGAACAAATAACGAACCGTACAGCACAGGAACAGGCCCCTCAGCCCACCAAGCCTGCTCTGACACAACAGCCTCTAAATTAAGAAACCTTCTGCATCTACTCAGTCCTTATTCCTCTATTCCCTGCTTATTCAAAAATTTCCAAGTGAAGAAATGAAACGCCTCACATGCAGCATGCCCAAGAGAGAACTTGGGGCAAGGTTGGGATACAGTTTACATTATGTTTAAAAAATAACAGGGTTGTCCAATGAAAAAAGGTCCAATTATAGAGTCATACAGCACAGAAACAGACCCTTCAGACCAATTTGTCCATGCTGACCAGACATCCCAATCTGACATAGTCCCATTTGCCAACATTCAGCCCATATCCCTCTAAACCCTTCCTATTCACAAACCTAGCCAGATGCCTTTTAAATGTTGTAATTGCATCAGCCCCCACGACTTCCTCTGGCAGCTTGTTCCATACATGCACCACACTGAGGGAAAATGTTACCTCTCAAGTGCTTTTTAAATCTTTCCCCTCTTGCATTAAACCATTGCCCTCTAGTTTTTGACACCCCTATTCATACCCCTCATCATTTTATAAACCTCTATAAGATCACCCTTCTGCCTCCGACGCTCCAAGCAAAAAAAAAGTCCCACCCTATTCAGTCCCTTACAATCTTGTCAATCTTTCCTGCACCCTTTCAAGTTTAACAACATCTTTCCTATAGAAAGGCGACCAGAATTGTATGCAATATTCTAAAAGTGGCCTCACCAATGTACTGTAAAATCCCAACTTCTATACTCAATGTTCTGACCAATGAAGGCAAGCATGCCAGATGCCTTCTTCACCACCCTGTCTACTTGCGGCTCCACTTTCATGGAACATGTATGCACCTGCACCACTAGGTCTCCGTTTGGCAACACTCCCCAGGGCCCTACCATTAACCGTATAAGTACTGGCATGGTTTGCCTTACCAAAATGTAATAGCTATTATCTAAATTACACTCCACCTGCCATTCCACGGCACACCACTGGTCACAGGCCTCCAATCCACCACTCTGTTTCCTACCTTCAAGCCAATTTTGTATCCATTTGGCTAGTTCATCCTGGTACTCACATGATCCAACCTTACTAACCAGTCTACCATGCGAAACCCTGTCAAACACTTTGCTGAAGTCCATATAGACAACATCGACTGCTCTGCCTTCACCAGTTTGCTTCATCACCTCTTTTCCCTTGTATTGCCAGGCATGCTTTATGTATTACAATGTAGCTGCACTTCACAAGTACTTCACTGCTAGTAAAACACTTTGGGATATGCCAAGGTCATAAACACTCTATAGAAATAGAAGTGCCTTTCTTTTCAACCAACTTAATCAATGTCTGCGAAACAATGAACCAGCTTGGTGAGCCAACCAATTACAACAACTTAATCTTAATCTGCTGACCCTGTAACGAATAGGGATGTAGGTGTGGGAGACAGAGGGAGGTTATAGCGCAAGAACCTTGAAAAAGTCCTCATTTAGTGAGAAACAAATGACCATGAATAGATAAATGAATGAATAATCTTTTAATCATGAGGCTTTAGTTAAAATAGCTGATTAAGCTGAATGCATTTTTTGTGAAGGTGTTCAGAATGGGCCGCTTTTGTTTTTCACCAAGAAACAAGAAAGTAGCCCACTCTTCTTTAAACAGTGTTATTGGATTTTCCAGTTATCTCAAGAGTTGGGGAGGTACCTCCATTTGATACCTGAAAGATGGCACTTCCAGCAGGGTCACCCAAGATTATCTGGTCAAGTTCTGTAGTAGGATATGATTCAAAGGCAAGTGTGTTACCACTGAGTCAAGTGCCTGACATCTGATACAGAAACCAAAGCACACCAGTAAGCAGGTCACAAAGAAAAACTAATTTAGCATTTCAAAGCTGCTGGAAAATTCTCTAGGGACCCTCATGAGCTACAAAACTTGGCTGTATGTGGCAGGAAACCTCATGCAATGATGCTGATAAGCACCATCACCATCCTTTACCACCAAGCAACCCCTATCCCACAATTAAATTTGGTCTTTGCAACTGCATTCTGCCTGAAAGTTTAGAAGTGAACTCAGGCACAAATGTCTTCCAGCCCAGATAATATACATCTCACAGAGAATAAATGAGTAGGTGGGAATCAAAAACACATCACACCAAGAGGTTCAGAATATCTTGTAAACTTTAGCTACAGACCTGTAAGTAATTCCTAACAGAGACTTTTCCTCTACTGTAGTGTGGTCCAATTCATCAGACAAGATAGAACATTAGAGCAACTGATGTTTTCTAATGTGGAGTAGCATATGTATTCACAGACATATAACCAATCTTCAATTCAAATGTCCTGCCCTTTCCTGCATCTTTCTCTAATCATCCTTTTCTGTCAGCACCTCATCAGGCACAGCTGAAGTTTGGAAGGACAGAATGTGTACTTGATATCTACAGTTCACCAGTGTAGGAAGAACCTCCATAGAGTACATAATGCAAAAACTCACTAATACCTATAATATTTTTTACAGTATAGTGCTTATGAATAACAAGTGAAAGTGGTTTCTGAAGCCAGCAACTGTGGTTCTACCATACTATTGTACATATATCCAATCTAGTTCCTGATACACTAACTGCACCAGCAAATAAACATTAAAAATCTGTTTAAAGCGTGTACATTGGCTGAATGAGCTGAAGGCAAAGAGCAACATGTTACTCTACAGATTTAAACGTACACTTAATCAGGGACCTTCCACAATTTTAATGATTGTTTGATGGCAGTGGCAAAAATGTTGAACTCAATAAACCTTACAAACATATTGTAGGAAGCTTGGCTGCTGTGAATAGTGGCTGTTAACATGATTCAGATGCAAGCAGCCCCACCCGGCACAAATTTCAGTCTCTGTTGGGCAGAACAAGTTGCTGCCACCATGGCTACCTCTGGCACAGTGGCAAGATAGTGAACTGTGAGCAGTCAAGGATTGGATCACAACCAGCAGTCTGGCTACACACTCACCATAGAGACAAGCTGAAAAGTAATGACGGACAGGCTTAGCATCATCTCACTCAAACAAAGAAAAAATCATCCATTCTGATCCTGGTCAGCACAACATGCAGCCTGGATAGAAGGCAGCCATTCACCCTGCACAGAACCCATGTTGTACCTCCAATGTTGTTTAAGGTTGATCCTAATGTGCTCCAGCCAGAAAGATTTATTTTGAGCAACTGCTGATTTTGAAATGGAAAATCCAAGATTCCATCCTTCTAAAGTTATGCATGAAAAGTGACAAGACTAAGCTCAAGCTTGCAGTAGAAGGAGACTCAATCCTGTACAAAAGGGCATAAATTACTCAAGGAAATAAATATACATAAAACATTCAAATTCGTAATGTTTAACTCCCTTCTTCAAAATGCTCCTCAATCAATAGCCTAAAACCTAGCACTTTATATCAAAATCCTCCTTCCAAATAAAAATCAAGTTTACAATTACAGAATCTGAAGATTAAAAGAGAACTCTCAGCAAGCTGTGTGCAAACTCTGGTCCATCAAGCCAAGCCACTGCTGGCTGTGGCCTATAATAGGGGAGTGCCCATCCACATGTGCGCTAAAAGGAGGGGTAAATGAATAGGAAGTTTTTAAGAGGGACTTGGGCCAAGTGCTGGCAAACGGGGATGGATCAGATCGGGATATCGGGTCAACACGGACGAGTTGTACCAAATGGTCTGATTCCCTGCTGAATGACTATGTGACTATGACAATGAGAAAATACTGTCTTTTTCTAAAAGGAACAGCTCTCTAAACTAGGACTTCCCAAAGAGTCACCAGGTTAGAGTCAGGGGTCACAAACTCCAAAGCAATAATGGCTTTCTTAGAGCTCTGACTGAGTTCTAACAATCCCTGCCTTTAATAAGCCCTGTGCTGCAACATTCATCCCCACACCTCCTCTGTTCTTACTGCAGAGTTGCAATAATTTTCAAGTCTCAAAATGGGGTCACAATGGGAAGCACTGCTCTGAACTTTCCGGAACCTGACTTGAATATTTAGAAATAAAGAACTGGATGAGTCAATGTTAATCCACAAGTTACTTTCCCCAGGAAACTTCTCAAGAATGCCGTTAACTTGATACAGTAGCTACAAGTTGAGAGGCAGAATTAAGCCATACACCACTGAAATTAGATGAAAGCCGTTCAGAAAGGTCTCTTTGCATACTAGTCACGCAAATCAATTTATAAGTTTATCAGAGTTAAATTGGCTAGTGCATAAAGTATCAAATCCAAAGAAAATTCCAGCTTTCTGGAAAAGCAGAGACCAGTCAGAAATTTGATATTTTGACAGATTGAAGAGTAATGCAATCAGCTAAAGTTTCAATGCTTGATCAATGAAAAGTATTTCTACACAAATAAGATGGCTCCTCTCCTTCCATGGCCAAATACCCCTTTAACATCAGCAGAGGGAGTAAGAACGGCCAGTTGGGTCCTGTATCGACATACAACCAATACATGTGAAACTATCAAGTACTGGCATTTCATAAATGAGAAGTAAACTGGAGAGTCAGAAATCAACTCACACTGAAGTGGAGACTGGGCACAAAATCCAGGGGTAGTCATTTATGACTTGGCTCAAAACTGCAATTACATTTTTAAAAGGATTTAGGGAATTTTATCACCCTAGAGGTTACTGGATTTACTTTTAATGGTATGGTATTGTCAACCAAAATTCTCACCGCTTCGATCCCCAGCCTTAACCATGTGCTGGGATCTTGTCTAAAGAAAGCAGCAAAATAGAATTTTCTAATGGAACACTGAATCTTTGATACTTCAAATGTCGCATTCCAGTAACAACTAGATATTAAGTGAAAATACTTTGTGTATTCACTGGACTTCCAAAGGTTGTCATGGTCAGCACTGATAAATCACAAACTTTCTACAGCTGATTGATCAGTAAGCCCCATGTCCATGGGTCTCAGGTAAGAACTGGTTCAGGCTCAACTTTTACATCTCAGTGAATAACACACCCACACTGGTTAATTTGAAAACCCTAAGCAGCTGGTTCTTCAAGACAGATCACTTGGCCAGAATATCTAATGCTGTCACTGTACACATTTAGCAAATTGATGTTTCACGTTACCAAAACCTAATGATGACCTCAAACACAGATCTTCTAATAGAACAGTGAAACATAAGGTAATAATGTAACAAACATGGTAAATCCTAGAGTGTTGATAACCTTTCAATGCTGGCATTTAATCCAGATTCTGTTGCCAAACACAAATGAGTAACAACTAAAATCTGAGGTCTCTCCAGAATGACATGGTCTGATTATTGAAACCTGACCAGTTTTTATTAGATCACCTGAATCTTTAAAGAAGAGGATGTAGTACCTTTTTCTGCTTTGCCTTGGATAGTGTTGAGCTTCCTTACTGTTGCTGGAATTGATTCACCTAGGCAAGTGAAAAGTATCCCATTTGTGCCATGAACAAGGTTGACAGGCTTTGAGAAGTCAGGGGACTAGGCACTTAGCACAGAATACCCAGCCTCTAACGTGCTCACTTACACTCAATATTTATGTGCTGCTTCAGCTAAGACTTTTGTTGTTAGTTCAAATGCCCCAAGATTCAAACATAGCTGCTATTACTAGTGTTTCACATACAGACAAGATACTATAACTTTGCGAGAAATATATTTCCATCTTTTCTGAACACACTGTGTTGTGGATTTCCAGTGTTAAGAATCACAATGAGACCTTCATGGAATCCAACCACTTTTCAAAAAAAAACCTGGATTCAAGAAACAGTAGCTTTTAATATATAGGACTAACTTCAGCCCTTTGCCTATTAATTCCTACTATTATCCACTTTGTTTTTCTCTCCCAGATTCTATTTTACTATAATGAACACAGGATTATTTTTTGTTTAAAAGACAATCATTGGTAGATGCCATAGACTATCCAAAACTGACCTAAATAAAACAGTATAGACTGGGATTTTTCTCCACTTTACAAAATGTAAGCATCTTTTTAGAATGAGTATTTTACCAACTTCTAGACAATGATCGATTCAATATGGGTGGAAATCTATTGGAATGAACAAAATTAAATAGTAAAACCAAAAAATGCTGGATATAATTAATGCATCAGGGAGTATCTGTGGAGAAAGAGTTAATGTTTCAGCTTGACAACCATTTGTCAGATCTGGAATCCAAAGCCACTGAGGACCGAGGTTAGAGAAAACAGGTTTAAAATGCATCAAATAAAACCAGTTCAAAGTGTGAAAATTAACAAACTTCATGTATTGCAGCAACTTTGCAAAAAAAAATCTGCATTATTACAGTTATCTATTTTGGGTAGTGTCTTATTTCAACCTATTCCTAAATGAAGGCCAAATCCCTCGTAAAACTGCAACCTTCCAGCTGAATATTTCATGCTCTAATCCAATTCTAAATACTATACAGCAAGATCTATATGCTGGCTCGTGACGAGATTACATTTTTGCCAAGGAGTTACATGTGACATTTAGAAATAACACAAAAAAAATCACACCCGCGTTTACTTGCATATTTCGATTTTCTTTTGTTGTGATGTCTGAATGAAATGGCAATGATAACACAGGCTCAAAGGCAGAAAACTATTAGCATGACAAGATTACTGAGTAAGGAGGAGCCAATTTGGTTATTACTAGTTACTCAAGATAAATGATCCAAATATGAATTTTGATCTATACAGCAGAAATCAATGGGTAAAAAGCCTTAATACCCTGGTGATAAATTCGAAACTACACTGTTCAGGGAATTTTCCCGACCAGAAATGTTAAGCTAAAAAAAAGCAACTGAATCTGTCCAAAAACATTAAATAATAAAGCGCTCGTGAAGATTGTACCGTATGTCCTCAATATCACAACGAACACACAGAAACTTATGGCAATATACTAGACAAAGGCGAGATTACAAACACAACAGACCAGGAAAAGAAAACTGGCTGCCCTCCTGGCACATGCTCACCCACCCAGTGAAACCTGGAATCCTGCTTAAAACTAGTCAGTCACACAAGGTGGTGGTGGTAGGGGGTGGAGGAGAGAAAAGACAATCACTCATTCACTCCCCTCGTTCTCATTTTGGTTTCATCTCCTTCCTCATTTTGCAGTTTACACCAACAGGGCCCTCACCACCCAGCAGGGGGGCTCTCCCAGCTTCTAGGGCCTGCTTGTTCGGGCTTTCGGCGACTTTTCCTGCCGTAGCCCGGCCGGCACTGCCTTACCTCGATGACCTCGTTGACCTCCCGGATACACTCCACCATGTGCTGGACGATCTGCTCGGCGCTCAGCACCTCGTAGCGGTAATCCTCCTCCTCCTGTTCGGCGCCGAGGCCGCCCAGCCCGCCTAGGCCTCCAAGGCCGCCGCCTCCACCGCCGACCCCGTCGCCGTCCTGGCCGGGCTCCAGGCCAGGCTCCTGCATCTCCACCTCACCGATCTCGAAGTTATCCTCGGGCTCGCTCTCCTCGCTGTACTCATCCTCGTCGTACATGTAGCCCTCGTCCGAGTCCATGTTATTGTGGGTGCGGGCTGGGCTGATGTGACTGTTTGTGGGGGTGTCCCTGCCTCAGGCTGGGCTCGGCTCGCCTCAAGCTCAGGCTGGGCTCGGCTCCGCTCTCCCCCCGCCCCCCCCCCGGGCAGCGTTACCGCAACAAAGGGACTGGGCCGCGCTCTCTCTCCCGGCGGCACCCGCGCCGCAACATGCACCCACCCGCCCTCCTACCGGCCGGCAGGGCCCTGCACCGTCACTTCCGCCCCGCAACTGAGCCTCTTCCGCTAAACCACTGCTGCCCCTCTGTGATGTCACCCGTTCGCGAATTTCGCGCCGGCGTCCCTGTCACGGTCACCTCAGTACCACCCGCCGTACCTACCGCTCCAAGCGGAGCAGGTCCCCGTCAGACCCCATCCTAACCCCGCCTTTCCTTTAAGCCCCGCCCTCTTCTTGGACGTCCCCGCCAAGATCCTGACCGCTCCAGCGGGCACGCGCAATCGCTTTCCCCACACCCCCACATCCGGAGCGCGCGCTGTCTTCTCCCCGCCTACCGCTGGGTGCGCGCTTGCAGAGTCGGTTGTTTCTGTTGTTCGCGGAGGAATTCACGGCATTAGCATCGCTCTACCTGAGGAGGTATATCCCGTCTACAAAAAAAAATCAGGGTCAAAATAACCCGAACAACTGCTTCAAGTCCACTCTCTCTCTTCAACACTGTGATGGAAAGCGCCGTTTTATGAAGCAGCATTTTGCACAGCATTAACCTGCCTCCCGATATATACTTTGTGTGTCTGCTGGTGCACTCCTGGTCTGGTAGCGTATTTAAAATTTTTGTTCTTGTTTTCAAAACCTTCTTTGGCATCATCCCTTATTTTCTCTAATTTCTCCAGCTTCATAACCCCCTAAGGTCCCTGGGCACCTCCGATTATGGTCTCTTGAGCATCCTCAATTGTTATCACAGGAACAAGAATAGGCCATTCACCCTGCTATATTATAAATAATAGCTGATCATCTACCTCAATGTTACTTTTTCCACACTGTTTCCAAACCAAATCCTTTCATGTAATTAATGTTTAGAGATCTATGGATTTATCTCTTCAACATGGTCGGGAATTGCTCTATCGTAGCCCTTGGAGTTAGAGAATCACTTCACCGGTGGCGGAGATAGTAGGAACTGCCGAAGTTGGAGAATCTGAGATAACAAGGTGTAGAGCTGGATGAACACAGCAGGCCAAGCAGTATCAGAGGTGCAGGAAAGCCGACGTTTCGGGCCTAGACCCTTCTTCAGAAAGGATCCTTTTTCTGAAGAAGGGTCTAGGCCCGAAACGTCAGCTTTCCTGCTCCTC